TCGTTACCGGAAAGTTGGTCAGGAACTGTCACTGCCATTAGTGGTTCAGTTGGAACCTCTAAATTCACCTTTGAGGGCATTCGTGACTTCATCCTAGGAAAGGACATAAGGAGATAGAGTTCTGGAGAATCATCTAGTGCTTTGCTAAGCACTGAAGGGAGAGGTAGAAAGACARAAAGGGGTAATGGCAGAGGTAGATCAAAGTCAAGAAAGAGGAGCCACTCAAAACMAAGAAAAGACATCCAATGTTGGAAGTGCAAAGAAACTGGGCACTTCAGAAATCAATGCCCTAAACAATCAGATGGAAACAAAGAGGTGAACGCAGCAACTGATGATTCAGACGATGCCCTTATCTGTTGTGTTGAGAATTCAGCAGAGTCGTGGATCTTGGATTCTGGTGCATCATTTCATGCTACTTTCAGCACGAAGATGATGAAGAATCTACGAACATCTAATTTTGGTAAAGTTCGTTTGGCTGACCATCGCACTCTTGACATCAYAGGAATAGGTGACATAGACATAAAGACTTCATTGGGTACCACTTGGACATTGAAGGACGTTCGAGTCATTCCAAGCCTTAAGAAAATGTTGATTTCTACTGGGCAGTTGGATGACCAGGGATTCAAAGTCGTTTTTGGTGAAGGGCAATGGAAGGTTGTCAAAGAAAACCTTGTAATCACCAAAGGTAAAAAGCGAGGCACCTTATACATGGTTGATGTTCCCGATAGTGAGGTGAATGCAATGACCAGCGGGATGAAACCATCCAGATTGTGGCATCAACGACTCGGCCACATGAGTGCAAAGGGAATGAAGATGCTCGTTGCCAGAGGCAAGCGCCCAGATTTAAAAAGGGTGGATTCTGAATTCTGTGAACCCTGTGTGCTTGGCAAGAAAAAGAAGGTATCCCTTGCGACGACGGGTCAGACACCAAAAGCTCAGAAACTAGAGCTTGTTCACACAGATGTTTATGGACCAACACCAGTTTCTTCCGTAGGAGGATCGAACTACTATGTGACCTTCATCGATGATTCAACATGCAAGGTATGGGTTTATTTTCTTAAAAATAAGTTTGATGTCTTCAACACTTTAAGAAATGGAAAACCGTTGTTGAATTAGAAACTAACCTAAAAGTAAAGTGCTTGAAGTCGGATAACGGTGGGGAATACATTAGCACAGAGTTCACTGATTATTGTGCTGAACATGGCATTCGGATGATAAAGACAGTTCCAGGCACTCCTCAGCAGAATGGAGTGGCAGAAAAAATGAACAGAACTTTGAATGAGAGGGACAGGAGTATGAGGCTTAATGCTGGGCTTCCAAAGACGTTCTGGGCTGATGCAGTTAACACTGCAGCTTATCTTATCAACTGAGGAATATCAGTACCGTTAGGCTTCAAGATTCCAGAGGAAGAGTGGAAAGGTAAAACAATCAAGTATGAGCATTTGAAGGTGTTCGGATGCAGTRCCTATGACTTGAAGWAAGAYGGTGACAAGTTGGATGCAAAAGCCAAGAAATACACCTTCATTGGATATGGCTCTGATAGTATGGGCTACAGGCTTTGGGACTTTGAAAGCAGAAAAGTAGTCAGAA